CCTCTGCAGGTGTTGACACGTATGAATGTGGTCCCGTGTTGGCCGTATTGCAGATCCCTGTAGGCCTATCACGGCTACAACGACGACGGCGACGACGACGACAACGGCGACGACGGCGACGACGACGACGGCGGTGGCGGCGGCGGCGGCCGCCTTGGCGATGGCCACGGCCATGGCGCCACGGCCACGGCCACAGCCACGGCCGGTGGAGACGACGTCTCCAGTCGAGGATTGAAACGCTGCGCACTCGGACTTTCTAATCTGCCTCTGCGCCGTTTGTTCCGGCGCGCGGCCTTCAGGGTGGGCACCGCAGCCACCAGGGCAAGCGCCGCCTCGGGCGCCGTGGGTTTGCCGTGGTGTTTGCCGCAGGGCCGGCTGCGACTGCTTGGGCGCGCGGCGCAGGTTTTGCCGTGGGTTTGCCGCGGTGTCGGCCAGGTCCACTTGGGCGCGTGCAAGACAAACTGCGCGGCGATGTTTGACGCCAAGGCGCCGTCGCCTAAATAGAGATCACCAATTTCAGTGTTTCGTATGAAGGACATCTTGAGGCTGCACCGTCGCTAAATATCAGTTTGCGGCAACAGAACGTGACAGCAAGCATACTTTTCGAAGGTCCGCCTCGCATCGTGAGACAATATCACGACTCACGGTTCCTGCTTATTCTCTGTTTCCAGGGGCCTTGGGACCATCAGAAAACGACCCGGGACGAGAAGCCGGTCCCCGAGAAGGGATCTAGACCTTTGGGGTCCACGTTGTGAAAAAAGATCACGCGACGTCGGGCGTCTGGGCTTCAAGTCGAAAAAGAGCAGATTGCATAAACATAATTTTTGGGGAGGGCCAGCTCCGATCCAAGGAATCCGCGCGGAGCTCCGAGACAGTACCTACATGTTTATGCCGTTATTCATTCCTCTACCCAGGCCGCCCAGGTTCGCCATGAAGCAAGCGTGTGTCTGCGGGAGGTCCACGCCTGTTCGCCTCCCGCCCTCCTCCCCCCCCCCCGCGCGGCCGCCCTCGTCTTCTGTCTTTCCTCCTGCACGCCGGGCAATCACAGTGCCGTTTTTAATGCATGTTCCGCGTGCGGATCATGTATTAAGCATGCAGGGATTTTGCATTTAAAACAACGATGAGTTCATGCATAAATCTATTCGTAAATTAGTCACGTGTTACAAATCCTATATGTTTGAACATCCTATGTATCACAAACTGCCCTGCAGCATGTCGGCTGCCCGGATCCGCCACACGCTGGAGCGGACCGCCCCGGCCTCGCCGCCGACGACCACAAGAGTGCCTGCGGGAAGCGAGCGGGTCCTGAGGTCATGGTAAAACAGGGCTATAGGATCGGGATAAATCGCTCCAGAGCGTTCCGGAGCGCTCTCAGAGCGCTCCAGAACGCTCTGGAGCGGCCGCGGCGCCCAACGCATCCTCCAAACCCGCCGATCCTCAGAGATTTCCAGTTATCCCGATCCGATTTTGTCCCGATCTTCGCGTCGTTTTACATGGGCCGCCATCGGGCTCTGTGGGGCCCCTCCGCGGCCCTCCCCAGCGAGCCCCCATCGGGTGGCCCCTCGGGCGGCCCGTCGCCTCCCAGGGGCCGCTCTCTGTGCAATCGGGGCGCTGTGGCGGGGTTTTCGGGAAGGCGGTTTTCAAGTCGGGGTCAAGTCGGGCGTGTCCCTCCACGGGAGGAGTAGTCAAACATCCATCCCCAGGCCGAAAGTTGTTTCCTCTTGGCGCTGACCCTCACGGTCCCGCGCGGTGCACGGGCCCTCTGGGAAATCAGAGCGGCGAACCCGATGAGGGTCGCACAGATCCGATTTCCAACCTTACAGTAATCGTGGAATCGCGGCGGATTCGATTTCCGTGCGCGCGGATCCCATTTCTGATTTTCGGGATCCGCGTCGGACCCTATTTGTACGGCGGATCCCATGTCTACCCCGTTTTGAATATAGTATTGAATTCGCTCCGGGAACCGACAAGAATGGGATCCGTCGACCGCAGGCCCCCCACGTGTTAAGATTCTACGGGGGACAGGGTTGGTCCTCTTCGACTTCAAGAGGAAAATCTTTCGTCCTGCGTAAGTAGTAGAACTTAGTCTGGGGACGATGTTTCGACTATTGGCTGCTTTCGGGTATTGTTTGACTATGTTTTGATGTTTCGCCCAAAACCCGCCTGTAGGAGGACATGCCCGACCTAAGGTTTGGAGGATGGGGTTGGGGGAACTGAGTCCTTAGGCGGCCGAAGGTATCGTCCTTGGCATCCGGATGCTGTTGCTCATGCCCTTCACCCTCCCACCCCCTCCTCCCAGCACGACAGTTGTTCTCCTCAGAGTTCGGCCCTGGGGACTCGTCTCTGGGTCACGGGGCCATCATCAATGGATCCGGGAGGTAAAACTGCCTGTGGCGCCGAAGCGGCCGGGACCCTGGTGGGGCCGCGCGGATTGGAAACAATCAGATCGGCGGATGCCAGGGAGCAGGTTCGAAGGTTTTTGTTGGCTGCTTTCGAGCTCTGGGGGCCATCTCCGGATCTCAGGACAGTCAAACAACTGTTCATGACGAAGAGCTGGTCCCAGCCGCCCGGCTGGGGTCGCAGCGGAGCCCAGTCGCCGAGATTAGGGAGCATTGAGGGCTCAAGAGGGGCTCCAGACTTCGTGCCGGAGCGCCCCCCCGCCCGCAGACTGGAGCCCCTCGGGAGCCCTTCGGCCCAACGATGTGGTTTTGTTCAATCCAGGCGGATTGCGGCCAACGGGGGGCTGCGCGGCTCGGGCCGAAGCGGCGATCCCCCGGAAGGCGGTCCAGACGGGGACCCACGTGGCTAACAAATGGAACCAAAGCCGGACGTCTGCGGCGCCATCGGGGGCGGAAAAGAGGGGGGTGATGACTAGCAGGGGGTGGTGGATATCATGGCGGGGGCCATGATATTTCCCCAGATTTCATGGCGCCTCTTCTTATTTCATTACATCCCTGGCCCCCCAGCTGGGCCGGTCACATGCCGCCGGTCATGATTTGCACCCCCCCCTCTTGGACACCCCCCTCTTGGCCGCTCCCGACGCCAGGCCCGTCCCAGGCCCCCCAGACGTCCAGCACCTCGAGAAGACTCGGGGCGGCGGTTTCGCGCTGCGGTCGGCTTCGGGGGTGGGGGGCCGCTGCCGGGCTCGGGGGGAGCCATCAGGAATCACCTCGGGAGGAAACGCTGGCCCTGGGGAACGGTTCCAGACTCCTAGGGGCACGTAGCAAAACAAACCAGAAGAAAGGTATCGGCTGGAGTCGTCGTAGCCACATGATCGTCGTCAGAACCATCGCAATCCCGACTGGGGCAGGGTTAGAACTCCCAGTGCACCCCCTCTGGGTATGGGCGTTGCGAAGTAATAATGTCACCCAAGGGGGAGTTAAGGTCGGCCAGATGTGCCCAGGTTTCCCTGGGGGGGATGATTTCTGCTTGTCCAGTGTCGCGTCAGGCGGCGGGAGAACCGGCTAGCCCAGACGTCGGGCGCCTCGACAGCATCGAGGCGCCCAGCTTGTCGCCATCTCTGGCCTCAGGAAGACGGTTGCGGGCCTTCGGGCCCGTCAGCACACGACTCGAGTTGAGTCGGGCATGTCCCTCTACAGGAGGAAAATTCAAAATTAGTCCAAAAATAGTCTGGGGATGAATTTTCTATGCGGTTGATTGTTTTGGAGTTTTTGTTGTTTTGTTTTTCGTCCAGAATACGCCTGCAGGAGGACATGCCCGACCTCAGACTCGAGATGGAAAGCCAGCCCTGGGAGGAGGGTTGGGGGGCGGAAAGATACGGATACGTGTTGTCCCCGGACCTCTCTTGGGGTGCGTTCTGACCAGAATTTCGAGGTGAATCCAGCGGTGACAACGAGGATTCCCCAGGAGGACCAGGAAAGGCCGAAAACGAAGGGGGACCACACGTATCCGTATCTTTTTGTCCCCCGAAGGGGGGCGGCGAGAGGTCCACGGGGGCCCACGCACAGGAACATCGGAGCGCTGGATGTCTGGGGCTCGTGCGGCGCGGCTCGAGGAGCCAGCCGGGAGGGACCCGGGGCCCGGGGCGGAGGCTTCGGGCGGATGTTTTTGCTCGGCGGCGAGGGCGGCGATGCTTTCGGCGGCCCCCTGGGCGGCCCAGGCCCAGGGCCCCGACGTCGCCTGGCATCGCTCGGACGTGTGAATTTTCCTTCGGCGAGGACCATCGAGGAGCATCCTTGATCATTTGGCGAGAAAAAAAACACGCACGAAACCGCAACAAAAACACAGGAAATGGACGTCCGAGCGATGGCCAGGTCGTGATGTTTGTTCATGGCGTGGGCCCCGAGAGGCCTGGAAGCCTTCCCTGGGGCTGGCTCTGCATCTCGAGCCGTGGTTTGACGGTCCTGGGCCCCGGCGAGAGCCCAGCGACCAACAACCGTCGTGATGGTGTCACGCCCCGAGGGGGTTGGGAGTGGGCCTCCCGAAGCCGAAGTCCGCGGACAAACTATTTTAACCCCTCAGTCCTCGATCTCCCATGCTCCTCGATCCTCATCGTCGTCGTCGTCGTCGTCGTCGTCGTCGTCGTTGTCGCCGTCGCCGCCGTCGTCGTCGTCCTCGTCGTCGTCGTCGTCGTCGTCGTCGTCGTCCTCCTCGTCGACCTCGTCGTGCACGTCGTCCTCGTCGTCCTCGTCGCCCTCGTCGTCCTCGTACTCGTCCTGGTCCTTGTGCTCTTGCTCATGCTCGTTCTCGTCCTCGACCTCGACCTCGACCTCGCAATCCTCGTCCCCCTCCCCGTCCCCGTCCGTGTCCCCGTCGCCGTCGCCGTGGTCGTCGTCGTCCTCGTTCCTCGAACCTCGATCCTCGAACCTCGATCCTCGCACCTCGCTCCTCGAACCTGTATCCTAGATCATCAAGCCGCCCTGGTTTTTTCAAGAATCGAGGGATCTGGGCCTTCGGCGGCCCTTCGGCGGCGGCCCCATCTGGCGGCCCCCTCGGGCGGCCCCCTCGGCGGGTTCTGCCGCGGGCGCGCGCGCGCGGAGGCGCTGCGCCGCTTCGAGGAGGCGCAGATCAGGCGCGGCAGGAGCGGCGACGACGCGACGACGACGACGACGACGTCTATCCAGGATTGAGGTTCGAGGATCGACGGTCCAGGATCAAAGGTCGAGGATCGAGGGTCGAGGATCGAGGGTCGCGGACGACGACGACGACGACGACCGAGGGTCGAAGGGTTCGAATAGTTTTTCGCGGATTCCGGCTTCGGGAGGCCCCGTTCCCACACCCCCTGCGGCCATGAACAAATCTCGACGGACAGATTTTTGGGCATTTGGGCCATTGCTGGGCCCCAGGACCGTCAAACAACGACTCGCGATGAAAACCGGCCCTGGGGAAAGGCTCGGGACTTCGGGGGACCCCCGCGTTGAACAAATCAGAACATCGGATGCCTTGGGATAGTTTGTTCGTGAATTTCGGCTTGAGGAGGCGCCAGTGTGGGCCTGGGCGCTGCATTTAGGCATCTGGCGCGGGAGACCGGTCAGCATGGACCCTCTTCGGGTCGAAGCCGGGGCCAGCTTTGCTCGGATGTCGGCACCGCCAGGGTCGACAACGACGACGACCAAGCCGGTGGCGGCCAGGAGAGGGGAGGTAGGAGTTCCATGGCCGCGGCAACGACATCGCCCAAGAGTCCATGGCCCCCCGTTCTTATCTCAAGACGTCCCGCTGGGCCGTGCACGTGCCTCGCGGGCCATGATGTGCGCGCCCCCCTCCTGGACGAGCCCCTCTTGGGCGCCCCCTCGGCGGAGGTTCTGGAGGCTCGGCGCCGTTCTCGGGGCTTCCGCGGGCGCCGAAGCGAACGAGCAGCGGATCCGCCTCGGGATGCTAGCGCCGGCGCGCCCCTGGACAGGCCTGGGGCTTCCGCGAGCCGTAGACAGTGTACGGCATGGCAGGGTTGGCGGCGGCGGCGCAACCTCAAGTAGGAGGAGGTATGAGGTACGGTAGGAGGCACGGTAGGAGGAGATAGGGGAGGAGGGCGGGGAGGAGAAGGAGGCAGCAGCGGGCGATTCGAAACGAGAGTCCAATTTAGGAGGGCTTAGGCAGAAAACACATCGTCGGAGTTTGTGTTATCCCCTGAGACCCGACGTTGCGAACAAGTTGCGGCATCGCGAGAAATCACGACTGGAGCCCTAGACCGCGGGGGCCCCGGGGTCCAAGACACTGCGAGACCGCCCTGTGTGCAGCAACAATGCGGCGCCAGGATCTCGGGATCTGCCCCCCCTCCCCCCATGGCAGGATCAAGATCAGCATCGACGACGGCCAGGGCGGGAGCGTGCTCGTCGGACCAGTGCAGATCAGCGAGCGGGACGAGGTGGCCGACATCGAGGCGCCGCGCTGGCGCGGGAGATGCCCCCCCAAGACCTGAAGGGAAGCGTCGAGGGGGGCCGCACTGCCCGGCGTCGGGCTAGGGGTCCGAGGTTCTGCGTAGGCCGTCGCCGAGTTCTCGGCGGGTGACCAGCCTCGGGGTGCCTTCCAGCGGCTGCGCCTCGCTGAGAGGCTTCCGGGGTTGCCCAGACCGTCCCGAACGGCCGCTGGAGACCCGAGCGCGATCCGAGAGCCGGAGGGCTCAGATCCCCGGGGGGGACAGGTTCAGGGGGGATGCTTCGATTCCCACGCGACCACTCACCGCCGATAGGCGATAGGGGCCTCACAGCCAACAACGCCCAGGAACCTTCGAAGAACAAGAAGAGAGCGCCATAAACATAAACTGTTGGCGCTCCGCACGGGTTTCTTGGATCCGCGCTGGGCCCCCCCTGGTGGCGCCTCCAGCGCCGCCCCTGGCGCGCTCCACGCGCCAGGGAGGTGGGTCTGGCGCGGATCCAACAAATCCGCGCGGAGCGCCGGATGTTTGTGGATATGGCGTCTCTCTGCTTCTAGTCGATTCCCGCTCCCGCACGCATCGCCGATGGGCGATAGGGGCCCGACAGCCCACAATGCCCAGAGATCCAGACTTACGTC